CAAATTTTCAAGGGACCATCCCGGAAGTACCCCCTATCCAGCAAAAAAGAATCATTTAAATCGGACATTGTGTTAAAGAATTATCGCTGAACATACTTAAAAAAAATATATACAGACGAATTGAGAACCTCCTCCTTTTTGAAGTAGGTTAAAAAGGATATAATAATCTATATTATTTGTATTAACTAAAAAACTACTATGTGGAGTTATATACATCTTCTTAAATTAATCTTATATGTAAAAATTTGGGTTCGATTCCTAGAAGAGTACCTAAGTTCACTGTGCAGCCAAATTTATATTTATGGTACAGAATTTTTTGAATAAATAAAGTTTTAGGTTTAATTAAACACCAAGTTTTATCAGGAATAACATTTTCTGAAAAAAGTAACATAAAAAGCAGACTTTTTGCGAGCCACTATATATATATTTTAGAGGACAATCCATATTATTTTAGAAAAATAAATAAAATTTTTGTATAAACACATAAATGTGATTTATCTTTTGGAATATTTTATATGTTTGTCAAAGTTTACTAATTTAAAAAAAAAAAAGAAATATTCTTCAAAATTTTTCTTAAATTTTTTAACACGGTACAAAATACCTTAATCCGTTTATAGTTATCGAAATTAGTAAAGAATTTTAACTCGTTTAAAAAGCGTTCTTTCTCTTTCCATTTCCTATAAAAACTAATAGACCTTTTTGAAATCGGTATTCGGTGACTTTTCTTCTGTTTTATTGCCTTGAAAATGATATGATTTACATAAAAAACAAAAACTGACTTATTATTTTTGTGAAATAAAAATATGTTGTTATTTTCACAATTTTCGACTACTTTTTGTTTCCAAAAAAGAAATACGATGTTCTTCTGTAGATATTAACACATTGTTTAATTGGCTTTTTTTTTTTTTTTTTTTTAATATTCTTTAGTATTTTCATAATTTGGGAAACAGTATAACTTCTATACCTGAAAAATTGTGAGTACGCTTTTAATTAATTGTCTGTTTTTTATCTCACAATGTCTCGATAAGAAGTTATATAGAAAAAGTTAGTATTCAATATCATCTAGACAAAAAACAAAAACATGTTTAAATGAATATATTAAATAAATTATGAGTATTCTTTAACATAGATATATTTATTTGTATTATGGAAATGTTTATGTCGACAAACTTATGTTCGATATTTGTATCAATTTGTAAAAATAACTCTTGTATAATGATAATATTAAATTTAAAGGTTTTAAATAAGGACTTGCAGATATCACAATTCGAAATTTTTTTTATTGGCCATAAAACTTTTTTTGGAATGAAAGCATTAGTTTCTGTTTTTCAGTTAAGCTCCATAAATTCATATTTTAATCTGAACGCTACTTAAGCACAGTAAAGTTGCAACAACTAAACAATATAGTGAACTTTTCGAAAATTTCTAAATGAAAATCAATTTATATTTAAAATTAAATAAGTTAACTAACATTTTTGACCGTTATAAAGTTAATAAAGTTATAAATAACGTCGTTACAAAGATTTATGTTTGAATTTTAAATTTCTATTGATAATAGTTACTCATCTACGTATTACAATAACAATACCTACATGACTTGGCTTTGACACAAAACCCTGTATAGTAAAACTTCTAATCCGAATCAAAATCTTGAAACTATTATTTGGGGACTTAAAATCGTGGTCCACTAGTTGGTGTAGCCTTTTAAAACATTTGGTATAATAATAATAATTATATATCATCAATTACCACTGCCACTGGTAAAATCTTAAATTTAAAATAGTGTATTATAATAATAAGACATTAATCATATCTTAAATGGATCGCCTACTACGATGTTTTAGAAATAAATAAAATTTAATTCTTAAATTAATAAAAATATTCAAAATAATATAAGATTCCTTGCGTTATGTTAATAAACATTAAACAAAATTTCTCACGAATTATTTAATATTTTGTCCCGTACTTCCATGTCTCTATTGCTTCGCTGTCAACAAGTTCCGGCAAGACATATTGCATATAAAAAATTTTAATTTTATTTTGTATCTTTTCTTCTCAAAAGCTGTCAATATGAGATATTTTCTCCACTTTTATTCCTCCAGAAGTCCAAAAGCACAAAAGCACAAAATGCAAAAATCCATTTGTGTTATGTGCAGCTAGCCCTGAATTTGAAAATACCAATAGTGGTTGTCCTTAATGGAATTGTTCTTTTTCCAAAAAGTTATTTCTCTACTGCATATTTCTTCTGCTACAGTCAGCCCTTCAGCTCTATATGGACATTTTAACTCTATCATAGAGTTTTGTTTTTTTTTTAATTCCATCCAGACTGGCAGCAACATAATCAAATTCGAATTCAATAAGATGTCCACATTTAAAAACTTTTACTTGCAAATAAATTTCCAAATCTTATTTTGCTCTGAATTTATGGTCCATGCCATATCGGGTGACTTTAGAAATAAATAAAAGATTTTAGGAGATTTTTTACAAATTTTTCCAAATTTTAAAGCAGTGGAAACGAGTCTTTTATTGTACCACAATGCACAATCAGCTTGTTACAATCGTTTTTCTCTCATTTATAGACATTGGCTAACTTTTTAGAAAATTTTCTCTTACAACGCGCCTCAAAGGGTGCGACAGATCAAAGCCATGCGCGAAAGCAAAAAAAAAATTTACATTACTTTAACGGATTGAAGAGATATTAACATGCTGGAATTAATAATTATTGTTGACTCGAAGAAGTATTCATTAAACAAAAACATATAATTCACATCTCAGTGTATACCTTCCAATTTCGTATATATATTTTTTAATAAATAAATGATAAAATTAATTTAATATAATAATTGAGCGAAATTACTGTGTGTAAAAAATAACAACATGAATTCAAATCACTTACGTATTGTTTATCACTAAAGAGTAGAAAAAGATATATATTTTGTTGGTATCACCTTCTAGACGAAAAAGCTTTTAACGTATTTTTATTATTATTATTTTATTATTTTATTATTATTATTTTTATTATTATTTTTATTGTAATAAAAATAAATGCTCCTGTAGGCAAAAATTAAATATATTTTTCTCTTCTAGCATTTTTTAACATTTCTATTTCTTTTCGTTTCTTTTCTTAGATTTTTTCAAAAGAGACATATTTTTAAAGTAAATCCGGAGAGGTATGGATTAAGCCTTTACCTGTACTTACATAAAATTTCTTTTAGTAAAATTAAAAAATAATCCGTAAAATTGGTGTACTATGAAACCCTTGCATATAATATATATATGCTAATCTTAGTATTACAGAAATAAATTACGTAAAACATAAGGTGTACAAATACGTAAAATTTATTTATCCCTCGTAAAATATCAGTAAAATATATTATAAATTGTTTTCATTCACTAATATTAATTTCTTAAAAATCTAACAGAGGCGCCACTTTCCAGACGAAAAATCTTGCAGTGTAAGGGTTTCGTAGTACCCCACTTTTAAAGTTTATTTTTGACTATTTTTAAAATAAAAAAATATATATGTGTAGGTAAAGGTTAAATCTATGCTCCTCTGGAACCACTTTTTCAAAATTCAATTTAGTTTTTTCTAAAAAAAATTGAGAAAATGGGTAAAAAAAGTCGAGATTTGTATTTTTTTTTAGAAAAAACAGTTTTAAATTTTAAAAAAGTGTTTCCAGAGGAGCATAGATTTATCCTTTACCTACACGTACATATTTTTTTCTTTCAGAATAAGTCAAAAATAAACTTTAAAAGTGGGGTACTACGAAACCCTTGCATGCTCCGCTCTACAGCCAAGTAAATACTCCTCTTAAAGCTAGCAGTCCACATAAGTGTAAAAGTTGTAAACAAACGACGCTGGTTGTGACTGGATGTCAACAGCAAGGGGTCACAGGGAGGGTCCACGACACCCTCATCGGCCACCTCAATAATGACAGTATCTACACAACAGCAAGGTGCTCTCATAACTATAGAACAATGGTGAAATTCAAGCAAAAATGGGATGAAACAAGAAGCTGCAGAGTTGCCAATATTGCAAAGAAATTCTTGACTATAACTAAACAAGTTATTCATTTGAACATAGGTATTCTGACTATAGAGCATAACCTCTAGATTGCTTTCTTTAGTTGCTCTTAATAGATAAGTAACTATTACAGCACATGTATACATAATTATACAGTGAGCATCTTAAGTCTTACCCCCTAACTAACTCGTTACTGGGGTCTTGTTAGGAAAATCGCCGAGACAGGTCGATTTTTAATTTCTACAATGTACATTTTTGCATGATTAGCTAACCCTTAATTTCATCCCTTACTAGAGGGTAAAAACCCTTTTGAAAAATTTAAGTGGCATGGGGTGGTGAGTGATAGCTCATTTGAAGGGGGGTTTTATTTTCTATTCAACTGTGCAAAAAAATTTTAAAATTTGCATCATTACATGTTGATTTATTAATGTTTAAAAATAACAAAACCTCACAAAAAAGGAAAGCAACTAGACTAACAGTGACCTTCTAATGGCAAAAAGTCTTACTTCACGTCTGAACCAAAACCGAAGTCGTGCAGGGCCGAATTTTAATTCTAAGGATGAGTGCGATACGTTAACTTCCGTTATTCTGAAACAACAATTAGTCGAGAATTAATGAAGCAAATTTCAAATTTTTTTACACGGTTGAATAGAGAATAAAACCCTCTTTCAAATGAGCTATCACTCACCACCCCATGCCATTTAAATTTTTCGAAAGGGTTGCTCCCCTCCAGTAAGGGATGAAATTAAGGGTAAACTATTCATACAAAAATGTACATTATAGAAATCAAAAATCGACCTGTCTCGACGATTTTCCTAACAAGACTACAGTAACGAGTTAGATAGGGGGGTAAGACTTATGGTGCTCACTGTAGAATTAAAATTACTAAACGTTTAGTGTTTTCAATACCACACACATTATTGTCATTGGTATGATGTATCGTTTATGAATATAAGGTAAATAATATATATTTTACCTGGCATCTTTAATCGAAATACACTACAAAGTACACTTGTCAATACTAATGTAAAAACAAATATTATTGTATTTAAATACTACCTAATACTGTGATGACTGAATAATCTTATCTGAAATTTAGAGTATCTGATTTGGTTTATCTTTGGAAATTCAGTATAAAAGAAAAAAAATCAATTGTCTATGAATTGCAGTGCTGTATCAAATATTTTTTTATGACATTATTTAGAGTTCTATCACCAAATTGTCACTTAAAATAGTGCTTCTATTATACAATCTAGATAAGATGATTTTGTTCCGACAATATTTTTTTTCTGTTATGGCCTGTTGTTTTTGCTTTAAACATATGAGATAATGTAATATATTTCCAATTGACTGAATGTTTCTTTTAATTTGCATAAAATACAGGTTTTCAGTCACGTATTAATGCCGGATTAATTTAATATTGACATCGTATAACTAAAATACTTATTAAGTGCCTATAGTAACTTATAGTAGTAATATATTTTAATATTTCATAGGAAACCGCCATTTACAAAGTAAGTTTGCAAAATTTTTCGGTTTAGAGAACCTGAAAAAAATAATACAACAGGAATTCTTCCACATACTTGTTCGGAATTCAATAGCAGAAAAATTCAAGGGATGCGAACTGAGTTCCTATAATGGCCAATATATGCTTGTATTTCCACACAAATCCAGTAAATGAGGAAATAAATAAAAGACAACCCTCAAACTGATGCTTCTTTACAATGAATTTTCCCAATAAATGCAATTATTAACAATTTTTTTAATTATTATAAAAGAAACTAATCTATAAACAACCAATATGTTTGTTATTAAACAAATTCAAAATAAATGTTTAAGAACTAACTTATAAGAAAACAACCAATGTTTAACACAACCTAACAAAGTTATGAAAAGTCTATAACTAAATAAACTATATATCTGAAGACAGTAAGAAATTAAATCGTATATGTTATATGCATAAAACCAAAAAGAATATAAATCCTGCAATAGATAGTGCGGTAAATCGTTAACATTGGTACCAAGGCGAAGGACAATGTGCACAAGATGTTAAGAAGATTGTTGCATAATCCGCAAAATATTAATTTCTAACATTTTACAATTCCACAATATACCCTAACAGAAAAATTAAAACAAAACATTAACACATCCGCACCTATTTATAGACAACAACTTATTTGATTTTTTTCAACTTGCTATTGAATTAATTTTCATTAGTTATAAAATTTAATTTATTAAAACTAATAAAAAAAAAGAAATAAAGTTTACTAAGCTGTCAGGAGGGGTCGGGTTATAATGCAAATAAAATGCCAGGCTATATGGAATATTCGGTTCCTTTTATTATATTTCTATTAATTTGTAAGCCCTGATCAGACGTCAAATCGTCCTCGTGCGTATTGTGAGGTTAGAATGACGACACATATACAAAAAAATATAGGATCTTCGTGTAACTTTTACCAAGACAATTCTTATTATGATTAGAGTAGTTGCCCCTCAAGTAAGTACTCTTGTTCACAGGTAAGAATTTACAATATATAGTACTAATTAAATTAACCTATAAAACTAATTTATATACAGAAAAGATATCTGAGATGAGGGCCAAACCCTGCTTTAAAAACGATAAAGTATATTTACAAACGATCAGTAGGCTACTAACATATGATTAATCTAATGGTTCAAACAACTGATATTAACTATTTAAATTTTAGAGAGACAGTATATTAACTGGATGGTCCGAATGAAGATTACCCTGGATGTATTGTGGGCCTAATAATATGGATTCCTGAAGGATATTCGGTAAGTCTGGTATTTCCTATTTGATTAATTAACTAGTAACTATGATTTTTCTTCCAGGATCATCCAGGTATACAATACGTGTACTAGAATCTGGCACTTGCCGCCGTAGTGAAGTTATCAAGTGATTTATATCAATCTTTATTTAATCCCAAATCACATAGTTGATATATATGATCCAGACAATTAGTTATCGAGAAGTTAAAAGTAAAACTAGCAGTAAACGAGGAGTCGATGTGAAGTTGAGTAGAAATTGTAGTTAACAAAAAGTTAACGTGAAACTTGTCTAAAAGGTCTAAAAGGTCTAAAAGGGTGAAAACTATCTAAGCTTCTGAATATCTAACAATTTCATGTAAGTAGATAAATTAATTAAATATTTAATGTGAAAATAGCATAACAAAAGTGATCCAAGGTTTTAATATTATTCTTACAATTTCAAAGAGACTTACCTAAGATGCTGGGTGGCCTTATTGTGACATTCAATATTATCTTAGCAATACTAATCCATAGCCAAGAGGTGTATTTAATATCTATATCAAACTAGATATAAATAGTGCTTTCCTAGATAATATATTTGTAGTCTCTGATATATCTTGCCAAAAGAATCCTTTTCTACGAAAAGTAAATACATAGCTCTCTGCAGTTCAGCAAGTTTTGTCAGAATGCCCAAATCAACCATTCAAAGGTTAAAAGTCAGAGTTCAAGTTCTCTTTAAAAATGTTAAACAAAAGTACCTATCTCTTTCTATTTCTAAACAATAACTAGTATATGCCTATTGTCTAGCTTGGTCTAATAAGCTCTAAATATACTTTAGTCCACCCAGAACCAAATCTTGTCAATCTGGTGGATTGAATGACAATGACACAAGGACAAGTGACACAATAATAAACAAACCCTATCTATTATTAAAATAACTAGAATTATTATTACTTATTTTAGTATAGAAAATCTCAACGACATGAGGAAAAATGAACAGAAGAATATAATTAATAAAATATTAAAATGGAAAATCTAATTAAAGAAGGTCAGTAAGTTCAGGACTTAGATTTTGGTTCTCCGAATATTAAAGGTATGTTTTATTTTAAACTTCAGGTAACCAGAATCAGCTGGGCGAGAGTAACTACTCTATTAAATGTCATCAGGCTTTAGATTTATTCTCTTTACAGGATATTTTATATAAATTTTAAATATTATTAATATTAAACGTTTCATTTGCATAAGAGGTGCATTTTTCTCACTAGTTCGAAGAGTAACATTTAGAAGGAATTTTGAAACCGTAACAAACTTCGAATATTGAAACACAGAAACTTTTAACGCTCCCAAATTGGAAGCAGTTACTTACTTAATTTATTAGTTAAGACCTATTTATGTATAAAGAAAAATATAAAAACTAATAAATTTTGACAGTAAAATAGAAATCATAAAGCAATAATATATAATAAATAAAAAAATACTTGAGACGAGCGGCGTAGTCACGGTAGGCTTGGCGTTCCGAACACCCCCCCCCCCCATAGACAGCCTTCGCGTCATCATATTGGCGCTAGCCGCTAAAAACTGATTGTTATATAAAAAATTATATATTTTTATTTACTTTTCTTCAATAAAAACAATATAATCTGAAATATTTACCTTTGTTGATAAAACTCCCCCTCCATAATTCTCAGAAACCACTTCCCTGAAAAATGTCTGGCTACGCCACTGCTTGAGATACAAAGATATACTTTAAAGCTCCCGAATTGGAAGGGGTATTTAAATCTCTGCCCCATACGGGTCTTATGAGCTTGCTTAACTTGTTTGTTGAGTCTTAATTTTTTTAATAAAAAATCGAAATAATCAAAAGAATGAAATGTTGGCCTTAGCTCGTATGTTACGAAGTACTTATGTTCAATACTCAGATCAAGACAATAATTGCTTAATTAACTAAATTTTAAAATAATTTTTATTGTACTTGGTAAATACTCAGAGCACCAAGTGCCCAATTAAGTAAATTTTGGAATAATGTTCAGTAACTCACTAATACATTTTGTGCGAGAAACTATAAATATAGTCGAAAGTCAAACATTCGTTTAAGAAAAAAGGTAGAATGTTTAATCTAATAATTTAGCAGTCATAGTGCCTGTACCAACGTCAAATTAAAATCCAATTTTGCACCCAAGTCATTTTATTCCTAGTTTCCTGCTTTTCCAATTCGTAAATTAAATCGTCTCTTGCAACTTCACTCAAAATATTTACACTATTGTCACGACAATTAAAGAGGATGGCATGAAAACTGCCAATCTCGAAGATAGCATCAAAATTTTGCTCTCAACTCACTTCCCTGAATCGGTCACCACAGACGTGACCGATTGGGAAGAGGAAGAATACAACCATCTGTCTATGATTGGCAAACTGCCAAACACATTGCAGACGATGACAAAACTAGATGGGCAATATTCAGCTTCTCTCCATTTAAATTGACAGGACCTGACGGTATCTATCCAGTCCTACTTCAGTGGAAGGATGGATTACACTGTCCCAAAATCATACGGATCAATTCCCCAAGATAATACATTTACTAACCAACAGAAATGATCCACAGATAGTTAGTGGGTGGATACATAATATGCTCTCAAAGCGAGCAGTAAACATAAGTGTAAAAGATGTAAATATAAGAGGCTTGGTTGCAAGGGGATGTCCACAGAGAGGGATGATATCATCTCTCAATAATTACAGTCACTACACGTATGCAGATGACCTAGTCATTCTGCAAACAGAAAAATTTGAGAACATACTCTGCGAAAGAATGCAAGTAGCTCTCAAAATTATAGAACAGTGGTGCAACGACTATTCACTATCTATCAATCCCAAGAAAACAGTAATGGTTCTTTTCACAAGGAAATGGATAAAAAATAAACTAAAACCTCCAGAACTCCTAAACACAAAACTACAATTTGCAAAGGGTAAAATATCTAGGTCTCACCTTTGACAGCAACATTTAGAAAACAGAGTCAAAAGAGCATACATTGCTTATAAACAATGCTGCGAAACCGTGGAGCGTACCTGGGGTTCCTCTCCCAGAGTCGTCACATGGGCTTACACGGCTATCACAAGACCTATACTAGCAATTGTCTGGGTAACGAAAATTTAAAAATTAACAGCTATTCGAAAACAAGAACAAATTCAAAGAACAGCATGTCTGAATAAGAGTCATGAAAACCACACCGTCCGGAGTTATAGAAGTCATTCTTAGTCTCACTCCCCTTGATATTTACATCAAGGAGATTGCTCTGATGACACATAGTGATGCCG